AATGTGAAAACTGTTTCAAAATAATCCGCAGCTGTATAACTGCAAACAACAGCCTTCTGTTAGACAAGGTGGTTTTAGCTAAACCAGAAACAACTTGAACATCTTGTTAATGACTGCTTCCTATCAATGAGGCTTTGCGAAAACGTGCAAATCTATGTAGACATCCTGAAGTGTTTTACAAAATTACCATTACCTAATGTCTGCGGTATTTGAGATCTTTCTGGAAAAGACGTTAAAGATAATCTTCAGAACATTTTTATGTGGCCTGTAGAGCTATTATCGCTTACAGCCAGAGCTAAAGTTATGGGACCAACCAAAACAGGAACAAAAAATACACACTGCACAATGACTCAAACGGTTAGCCACCACTCAGAGACAGCAGCCTGGATGCTGTTGATGCACAGCTACTGCCACAAAATAGAAATAAAGAGGAGATAAGCAACAACGAGGCCAAGGGATCAGACCACTAGCAATGAAGTCATCAGTTTACACAAACACACACCCACCTACACACACACACGCAACATGACGAGGTCTGGCAAGCCAAAAGCTACTGTTCCTCAGTAGAGAAAGAGAAAACAAAGGAGTCTAAGCAGGAATGGTATCAGCAAGGTGACCTTCGCACATGGATGTTAGAAAATAACGAGTCTCCAAGCTTTTCTAGGTAGAGAGATTATGCCAAATACATGTCATACTCTCTGGCGGTGATTTGCAGGCCTGCTCAGCTAATCAATAAATTAATCATCCCTTAAGCCCCCAAAAGGCAACGTTCCATCAGAACAGTTAACCTATTTTGATACACGCGAGAGCCTACCAGAGAACAATCCCCATGGGACCACAGTGCATATTTGGCAATTAAAATGATCCACTGCCCATAAAAGCAATACAATAATGCGAATAGCTGTTTTATGAGCCAGTGCAGGCTGACAAAGAGGTAAAGCATGGATCTACCTACAGGAAGGTCACACAGCTACCGCACGTACAACAAGAGCGTCCATATCAACTCAGCCTCAATCATTCCTCAGCCTCTCAGTGGAAATCATGGGGACCAAAATATTTCAGCCGCTATTTATGATTTTTCAAACACTTCCTGTGACCAACACTGAGATGCTGCAAGCTGCTGCATATGCAACAAGGGTGCAGGGGTTTCCCCCGTAACTCAATCAGCAGCCCATTAGGATTTTTAATCCAAAAATGGGACAATAACCTTCTATAACCAGAGGAGGTCACTGTGGAGATACCCAGGAGAATGTCACGAGGTGGGGCACAAAGAATTTATAACTACTAAAACAAAAACAAACAAAAAACTCCCCCGAAAACCCAAGAACAAAATTGAACCCAATTTTCTATCTCAACCAGCATGTTAAAAAAATAAAACTGAAAAGAAGACAGTCGTGTAGCACAAGAGGGATACAGGCAAGACAGGTACATTCAAAAGAGCGTAATCACCTCACGGGCCTGCGAGTGGCTCTTTAAACACACAGTAAAGTCTAGGTGCTGTACAACACATGTCAGAGCGCTGTGTTTCATGGCTAAGCTCTGGGCTTAGCTGATCAAAGCCGTGCCACTCAACGCCACCAGACTTTGCGGCTCAGGCATCCGTCACACTCCTAATTAACTCAATGTTTCTCTGTTGTCCCCTGTGAAGTTTTCATGAAAAGAACAACCACTTAGCTGGGGCCTTCCAAACTGCAGTAGATTATCCAATGTGTCAGGAAATGAAGGCCAGCCACAAAATGCTTTCTGAATCTGTGAAACCACTTCCCCTGCCCGTGCAGCGCTGATGTGCAGCACGGGAGGGAGACCAAACAGATGTGCGAAAAAATGCGCTTAAGGATTTACTGCATGTATAAATGAATGCGGTGTACCTGAACTAGCTGACAGGAGTAGTTTCACACCACTAAAAAAAAAAAAAAAAAAAAAAAAAAACATTAAAAATTAATCAACTGCTTTTCTCCACTATTGGCAAGTTATTGTTTTGTAGAGAAATGTCTCTCAGAGGAAAGCAGAAGATCTTTGATGGAGCATATTAAGCAACTAAGCCTTGCTATCAGACACACCATGTATGTATCAATAAAATTAGATATACTGGCCCTTTTCAGTCTTCTAATAGGTAACATCGCTGGATTAATCAATCAGTTAAATGGCAGCGTTGTGTATTCAGATATAGGTCATACATATGGGAAATATTCCTCGTGACCTCAATCAAACAATCCCACAGTAATAGAAAAAGGAAGAATAAATGGGGACATTTTGCATCAAGTCAACTATGTAAAGAGACCTAATATAACAGGTCGGGCTTTATTATATTTAACATGGCACTTATATGTTGATAGCCATTTAAAGCTCTTTTATGTAGTTATAGGAACATGTCCTTATGCCCTTTTAGTAAATCGATCAGAAAACATGAAACTGCAATTTTTTAAAAGGGGAGATCAAATGTGTTGGCTCACCTGTCTGAAGCAACATTGTTTTCTATTACATCTAATCAATCTCGTCTCTACACACTGAATAATCCATGTTATATGAAATCACTACCGTTGTGCCACATGAATAAAAGCAACTCTCTCTGTTTAGAGAAGCTTCGTGGATTGTTTCTATTACTTTCTGATGAGGAAAAAATGAATATCTAGCTTCAAAACGAAGATTATAGCCATTACAAGCCGATCTATGACATGTGAACTATCAAAGTTTGTATATAATAAGCAGTTTATTCTGTAAGAGATGTTAAGCTGCAGGAAATATTACACACTACAAATGAAGTTCAACACAGTCAGGCTTTCTTTGCCTTTCTTTGTCAAGCTAGCTTGAAAAAACCTAAACCCCAGTTGGAGATAATAGGGATCACAACGGTGGTTAGCTACTTTTTTCAGTCAAGCCAGGCTTTGTGTTCCAGTGCTTTGCACTCTCATATAAAAATAGGTGTTTCTCAGGTCATGTGATTCTTCCTCTGCTCAAAACGATCCCTATGAATGTCCCTTACTTAAATGAGAGAAGTTATAACTTGGTGATAAAAATATGTAAATAACACAAAAAATACAACAGTAAAAAGCAACAGTTTTACAGATAAGACAAAAGACTAATGCTACAGAAAATTGTTACTTTTGGGAGTATTAAAATAAGCATTTTGATCCAAGTGAACAATTTTATCACCGAGTGCTGCTGTTTTTTTTTCTAAGGTGACAGCTGTAAATTAGTAATCTCACTTTGCAGTACACCCCTCGCCTTCAAGAAACGTCTGTATATTGTATCTTGTAGTGAACTTGCAGGTCAAGCATACATTTCCAAAACACTGTTCCTTTGTTGTGAAGTGACTGATCTCCACATGTGTTTGCTGGATGAAAACATCCTCTGGCTCTGATTAAACAGGACCAGACGCTTGTAAACTTTATGTTTGTGTCAGAATTTACCAATAATTCATGCTTTGCTGTTACAAACATCTGCATACGGATTACTGTAACTCAGATGAACGCGTGCTAGTTTCAAGAGTGATCCGTACTAAATGAATATACACCTTGATGACTCAACAAAAAGGTAAATTCAGCATCATCGTCACAAAGCTGAAACCCTTCCTGCAGCGTGTTTAATAATTCTCGTCCATGGGTTTTCACAGTTATCTGCGAGGACAGTGGAGGAGAATTAACAGACCCTCCCCCAGCCCTCTCCTGCTGGTGGTCCTCCATAAAATCCTATCTTGTCCCTCCACTTTTTCCCCCTTTTTCATGCCTCAGAGCACCCCAAGAGGGAATATGCTTTTAATGAGTGTCCCCTTTCCCCTGTCCCCTGGGCCATTTTCTCCTTCACAAACCCAGCCTCATAGCTCTCTTCATCCCCTTGTGCTCATTCATTTCAAGCACTCATTGCAAATCCTGAGTCATCCGAGGAAAATGAACACATTTAACTTGAGTGGCAGCTAAACAAACAAAACTCTACTTCGCAGGGCATTTGTGTTTTTTAAACAAGAAAGCACATTTGCAATTGTTTTCAGTTTCCACTGAACATCTGCATAATGCACTGCATCGCGGTCTCAGGATTATTTCAGTACTGGGATTTGGGAGAATTGCAGAAAATGTGCATAACAGTGAAAAATGCTACAGCAAACAGGATTTCCTAAGAAATGCAAAGAAATACGATGCGATCTTCAACCCTTAAAACTGCAGTTATTCAATTATTTTTTTCACAGAGACATTCACAACCTACAAACTTCCTATCACCTCATCTTTACACTAAATAGATCAAAGCTGTAACCACTCTAAACAATGGCTTGATAGCCCACAGATGAGTGCCACATGTGAGTGGGGACCACAATGGCCACTTAAAGGATTTCTCTCCCTTTTGCAAAGTCTCCAAAATACAAAGACTCAGGTTAAAACGAGTTCCGCCACAATTAGGTATTCCTGGCTTTGAAGCTCTCCACAACCGCTGACAAAGATGCCCTCAACGCAATGGACAGAAGAAGCTTTGGAGGATTTAGATCAAATGTAAACACACACCTATTATCAGCCAGCAAAGTGTAAACACACAGTGAAGTCGCAGGAGGCCTCCTCTTCGACACAAGGCGATCAAATACAAGGGTGAAGTGGAAAAAACAACTCTCTGTAAACAGACTGCGCCCACAGAGTAACTGCTGGGATCCAGAGTGGTCCAGCTATCATTACTTTCGATACAGTGTGACCTAGTTTTCCAAGAATGACAAAGCTCACAATTTCTATATTTTGAGATAAATATGTTAAAATCTGTACTAGCACTCCTGGATGGCTGTTAGCAGTTATGCAAAGGAACCTGACGTGTGATCTATTTTAAGTGACTGGATGGGTTTTCAAAAAATAGAAAGACTAAAAATAACCAAAATCACTCAACTTGGGAACATTAAAGGTTACAACAGATCTGAAAAAATATTCATAATATGAAAAATGGCAAGCATCATGCAGTTAACTTTTAGGAAAGAGAATTAGACGGTAGAGGGGGAAAAGCAAGCACTGAATTTAATCAAGCAGTACCTGGTGATCGCTTGTTACTGCGCAAGGGCATCATGTAGGACTGCCGAGGCAGCAGAGGTGAGGAGGGGAGCGACATGGACACTCCCTTGGCAAGGCTTAACCTGAAAACTTCATCCTGTGCATTAGGGAGACCACTGCCAGGCCCCTGGGGCTGGGGGTTTCCTTCAGTCGGGAATCTTCTTTGGACACTATGGCTATGAACGTCACCTGTTGAGGAGAACCACAACCTTGTTACTGCGTTTACAAAGCACGACCACTTCTGCATGCCATGAAACAGAAAGAAGGACTTGATCTAGGCAAAGTCTGATATTTTCATAACCCTTTTCAATATTCGTCAAGCCTAATCAGCACAAATCTTAATCTTGAGTGGGATGGACCAGTGAAACTGCCCTTTTTGTCAGTGTAAAGAGGATTTGCTGCACATTTCACCCCTGATAAACCTTCATATAAGAAAAAGCAGAGCACTTTCAATTGTACCTTTCAGTTTTTCTGCATGACAAAGACTATAGTAAATGGAGGAAATCTGTCAGCACGATTAAACTGTAAACATAAATGTGTAAAATTACCGCTGGCTTGTTGCCCAGACTGCCTGTAACTATTAAACAAAGATTTGGTTAATTAACAGAAAGTACTCGTTTTTGTTTTTAAACTTTGGTTTAGTACGCACAGCCATGGGGGACGTCTGTATCAATAAGAAAAGTTGAAAAAGAAATACAGTTAAAAAGCTCAAATTTATGCCTTGCCTTAAGTTTTTCAAAGGGAGGCAGGACTGGACTCTTTGCTGGACCGACTCTGGCCCCTGAGCCTTATGTTTGACACCCAACATAGACCCACTGACTTTAGGCTTACCATATTTTCTTACTCTGCTAGTGTCTTTTGGATTTTTGTGTAGGAAAAGATCTGAAGCTTTGAGGGCTACTAAACAACCAATGTATTGCAATATGACTCTGATCGCCGACTATTAGCTGTGTTTACCAACTGGTTTGCTTCATCTTGTCTCACTAATTCACATTTTCTGAGCTTGGGTGGCTTTACTCAGAACCACAGGTTTCTGTGGTTGACCACATGTAGATGTAGTCGTTTTTGTTTTAAACTATACACATAATTAAATTAACGGTCATTAAACAAATCTGGCAAAACCTTGCTCTTAGATCTGAAAAAATGCTGAATCCACTGAATATTCAATATTCTGAACTTTTGATCTTCTTAAATTCGTCTGATTAAACTATACTGCTTCAATATACCCCCGTTTTACTGCTAAAACATTAAACACCCTTATTTAATTTATTTTGGGCCAGTGAAAAGGTGTCTTGCCATTAGAAAGTACATGTCTCCTGGGTTTTAAAGACTCAACTTTGCAAAATTTTACAAGGACAGCTCAATAAATGTATTTTTTATAGTTCTAGTTATAATTTGCTATTTTAAAAAAGTATCTTAGAATGAAAAAAAAACCCCTTAGTGTACACTTTAGATTAAAAAATAGACCTTGGGGCTGACACAAATGAAATCATGTACCAAAACCTTCCTGACTCTGAATGCCAGAAATGAAAAACCTCAGAGGAAACCTTGGCAACCTTTCCTGCAGCAGAAAGCAGTTTGGTTCCCACAGGATGGCATTTTTGAATGTCAAAAAGACATACAGCTATCAGGTAAAAAAAAAAAAATCCTTCAGCTTTTGACAAGAAAAGCAAAAGTCCCTTTTTTAAAATCATGACCACACAATTTTGTGTCTGGGCAATCATTGTACTGTTGTGCAACCTTGTTACACAGGCAAGTACCACAGGTTTGAATAGAAAAATGTTCTGGTCTCTCACTGATATTTTTTGAAATTAAAATATTGAACATGAATGAGGTTTCAAAGACTCAAAAACTGTTAGAAATTACATCAAAGGAATGGAAATGCAGTGCCAAAAAAAACGCCTAAAACATGGTCATTAAAAAGCTTTCATGACCAAGTCGGCTGTCAGCCTTTCACTAAATTTTACTGTCACTTGTAAACAGACCAATAACATGCTAATGGATATTTCATAACAACAACAAAAAACCCTCCCTTGGAACTCAAGGAAACCTGAAAGACACATGTAGCATGGATGGGCAAACACTGCGAGACTGAAGTGCACGTCCAAGCTTCCACAACCATCGTGCAGTGTTCCTTCCCGATGAGATCTGCATCCAAGCCAGCACCCTGGAATGTGCTTTACCCAGGAAGCTGAGCAGTGTAGCCCACCCTCGAGCCCTCTCTTTGACAACCACCACATCTGCTAATCAATAGGCACAGCCTCCAGCCTACAAGCAACACTTAAGAGTCATGTCAGTTGAGATATCCCAACAACCTGCAGAGGCTTCAGCATCTCAGGGCTAAAATAATTCACATTTTTTCCCTGGAACTGTAAAACTCAACTATCTCACAGGCCTCTGGCAAGGATACAGAATGCACAAAACATATCAAACAGTCCAAGAAAAATATACGTACAGTTACAGCCTTTTAGAAAATGTGCTGGTTAGAATCCTGATAATTCTCTCTCCACTGACAAACAACATCCCCACTAATAGTAAGTTTTGCTGAACTTGGCCCCAGTTTTCTCTTACAGTCAAGAAATTTCTGGGGTCCATTCAGGTCATAGTAAGGACTGAAGGAGAAATAGCTGTGAAAAAAATGACTGCAGAAATTTGGAGACATTAAGGAAAAGAGTGAAAACTGTTGGTTTTCAGTAAAAGGACATCACCGATAAGTCTCTCACAAGGTTGCTGGAACGACAAACAAGGATGTCTGGTAGAGGTGGGGGGAAAAAAGTCAAAACAGACCTGGATGCCTGAAAAACAAGGTCATATAATATATATTTAAACCAGGGATCATGGGCCTGTTAGAATTTCTCACGACCATGGTACAGATGAGAACATTACGTTAGTGGTGCAAACACAGTTGCGTGTCATTGACCACAGAGTAGAGATAATAGACAATTCACTAACTGTCTGTTGTTTGCAGGTATTTTAGGTGTTTTGTGGGAAAAAGCTTGTGACTTCAAGAGTTTCATTTCCAGCTCTTTATCTGTACTGTTATCTTTTTCTCTCTGCAAGACTATAACACTGATGAATTCGGAGCTGGGAAAACAACAAGCCTTTATTATTTTTCATGTTTATTCTGAAAACAAGTGTTGCGTCCCTCGTCTTGCTGAGATCCTTTCATTTTGCCACTCAGCTAATTACAGTGTGTTTGTTGCCCACCACCCAAACCAGCTATGTCAGCTGAGTGTCTCTGACCTAAGACTATAAAACGTTTAAAACTGGAAACTGTTGTTTTTAGGCCGACAGTTGTACTAAATCACAACGGGCACAAACAGGGGAATAAAGGCTAAAGAAAATGACTATATTTCAAGCTGTGGTAACATTTCATTGTAGTTCATCTTTGTTTTAAAATATCCAGCCTTGTCAGACACTTTTTACTTAACCCACAGAGCTTCAGTTAACGTGTCGCAGCCTCGTTCATGTGTTTCTAGCAGCTTCATAAACCAAACCTGACAAGACTGAGACTTCAAGGAGGTAAAACTGGCTTTTTTACTCTTACCAGAGACCATGTGCCTGCACAGGTGGGCCTTCATAGGTGCAAAAGCTAAACTGCTCTCTGATGACTAATATTAAAAACACGATCCTCGTTGAAAATATATGACTGTACATGTTATGCTGCCTCTAATCTTGATGAAAGTGCATTGTGCACACTTTTCTGTTTCCCTTTAAAACGAAATATCACAATTTAAAATTGATCTCAAAAGGTATCAAAGCAGTTCACAGAGGCACAAAAGCACAAACTCACTGGCTGTTTAGTTCAGCTTGCAGATTATTAACACCTGCAGCTGCTGTTTGTGCGCTCAGGGTCTCTCCACAATCCCGTTCAGTGGGGTGTGACGTTTGGCTGTGAGCTTCAACTCTCCATGTGGCTGCCAAGCAACACTCCCAGGGCGTGCACCCAGGGGTCTCCGTCCTAGTCTGTGCATTGTCTGCACCCATAAGACTTTACTGATAGTTTTTCAATTGAAGTAGATTTTGAAAAAATAAACTCACACGTAGGCCTAGATATTTCCTTACCTATCAAAACACAGTAATACTGTGCATCATACACAAAAACTGTTTCCCACAATCTCTACCATGACTTTGCTCAGTACCTCAGTAAGAGTTTGATCCCTAAATGGAAAAAAACAAGTCTTGCTTCAGTGAAAACCAATCCTGCATGGAAAGACCAATCTAGGCACAGCGCCGGCTAATAGCAATGTAATCTATTTTGCAGATTTAAAGTTGCCCACTCATCATTGCCACAAATTAATATGTATGAATTTATCAACCTCAAGATAATACCCAACTAGCAATACAGATCATACGTCAGTACACCGAACGAAATAGTAACTGCCGTTGTGGTGAACCACAGTAATGTCAATTAGCTTCGGTTAAGTTTTCAAGTCTTCAGTAAATTAGTGCTGACTCCTGTCTGTAGCCTGAGGTTTGAAGAAATCACAGAAGACTCAATTGCGAGAGGGGAAACTACTATTAGCAACCCATGTCTCTCTTTGGGGATATGAGTTCCGCTGGTCTGCTGGGCTAATCAGAAACAGGGACCCATTTACTCCACGCCTCTGCCTTACCAGAGGGGACAAAAAGCAGTCTTGTTTTTTAAAGGGCTCCTAAACAAAGAAGAATGCCAGAGACAGGAAGCAGAAAGGCCGCAATGACACCTCTGCATGCCTGCAGACATGGAAAAAAACCTGTGAATGATTCAAAGGTCACCCAGTGAAGGCCAGGACCTGTCGTTACCTTGACCTGAGTGGGACCCACTGCACGCACACTGACAGAGACGCTTTAAAGGGTCCTTAGGGGAGTGTGTTTGTGCATATAACTGTGACTGTGGGTTATGCAAACAGAGATGAGACGATGCAAGGAAGCTAAGTTGATTTCTCCCCAGTGGGGAGCATTTAACACAAACCATATGACAAGCCTTGCATTTCTATTGCTAATCCTACATCAATTAATTACCCCAGTGCGCCTGGGGTTAAGGCACCGACCATGTCCACCACATACATGACCACAGAGCTATCGTTTATTGTCTTTCCTCATAAAAATCTTCAACTTCAACTTGACTGTTAAAGCATAAGATGTGTTTTAAAAAAGCCCCTATGTGAGCAATCAGAAGATTTTAATGTGAAACTACTTTTCATAAC